ACAATCCAATCTTGGAAAGATTGTCGTATAAGTGATGCGCTTGCTTTTGAACCGATGCCTTGGTGCTTGTAATGAGCCAGTGTTTAGGCGCTTAAGCTAAGTGTGACTATTGTCGTTAAGTCAACCACTTACTACGATTGTAATCGAGCCGACTACTACTCATGTTAATTTGCTTATAGGGGCTAACTGGCATACCAAGGAACCCGAAATTGATGTATGAGGTCAGCATAATTTAATATGGAGGCCATGTATCCTGTCGCTGCACCGACGCACGCTGGAAACCGCTATCGCCAAGCGACAGATGTTGTCGCCAGGCGACAGCCTTGTCGTCTGGCGTTGGAATCATGTTTATATTCGCAGTTTTTCGAAAAAATTCCGGGAATGTTCTTGCTCGCTGGAATGTACCTGCATTTATATTTTAGACTATAGGACTTTGCTTATCTTTCTTTAAGGTTGACTTTGTGTGACTTAATGATATTTCCTGACTCGATGTGTAACTTGATGTACTCAAATCGACTCGTGTGCGTAGACTTAACTCGATGTGATAACACGACATGACTCAATGTAGCTCATGTGTGCATTGACTTGAAAAAACAAAAAAATTCGTCATTTTGTGGAGGGTACCGACTTTCTCCCGAAAAAGAATCGAAGTGAAGTGTTTGATGGTGCATGTTGATTGAGCTTAAACAAATATATGCGTTCAATACTATCTCTTAAGATGCAAGGAATAATTCATCTTATGCTATCCTAGTTGACTTGATAATGGAAGTATTTAGGTAACTTAGGCACGGAGGCTAAGCACTTCATACTTCTTTATGCAATGATGAGTGATTTTGTGTCAAGATTTCATGAAAAAGGGTTCCTAAGGGAAGTATATTTGGTCATATATATGTGATGTGTGTGATAGTGACACTAAAGTTAGGCCACAAGGGTTAAGTGTGTAGAAAAGTATTTTTTGAGAAGTGTCAAAAGATGGTGACTCTTAGGCTAGGTAAGCTAACAATGTAGGGATCAAGCCCCCAAGTCTATATCTAAATGGAAAAGGATGAGCAATGGTGATATCTTCATATGATCAATTATGAATGTAAATATGAATGCATTTTTATTACGGTCGCACCCCAATATGAGGTTACCTACGTATCCGTTAGGAATCAGGCTGAACGTAGCTCTAGCCGAACCTTGCGCAAGTATGTGTATACCTCAAAGAGGTCTTTTAAGGGTTGTAACGTGGTTAGGCTAAAGGTTTGAAGAAAAAGTAGATAAATGCTCAAGACCCTAGATAAGCCCCCAAGGTGTGCAACCTGGCTTTTGAATCTTTGCATTATTATGATTGAGGTTTCAAACTTTTTAACTATCTTTTATTTACATTTTGCTCTCTTTTTTGCTTTTGAATTTTTCATATTTGAATCTTTTCTATAAGTGTGGGCAATCCCGATTATGTGGTCTACCACTCACTTGGCATTCATGTTTCTTAGGCACGGTACCGAGCACTCGATAAGAGACGCAATCTGAGATGTGTTCATATCAAAGACATGTTCATGTCAAAGCCATTGGAACACTTGCCCTTTTGTACACTTTTTATTATTTCTATTTTTGCTATTTTAATCTTTTGAATCACTCAAGCCTTTTGTTCTTTGAAAATTGCATAAGTTGTACACCATCCTATCCCAATGTTAAGTAGATGTGGGTTGAAGAATGAAAGGTCTATCGTTAGAAGAGGCTCAAAGTGGTGTACCAAGAAAAGATTGTATATTTAAGGGTGAAAGGTATAACATGGCTACAAGAGGTGCCTCTAATCATGGGTATACCTTGTGCTTAGTTCGGAATGGATTTTTTTTTTTAACGCAATGTAATGAAATAATCATATGCAAGAAAAGAAATGCTCATTTTATTAAAAGGTAAAAAGGAAAAACCTACAAAGTAAAGCTAAGGAAAATGCAGGGTGCCTATGTTAAACTTATTGGGGAAAGGAAGAATGAAAAAGAAATAAAAAAAGAGGTCACGAAATCTTGTCGTCGAAGCTCACCTCTTGTCTTGTGCTAATCATCACCTGGTCTTCTTGCTATCTAGAGGCGATGGGATTTTGTTTACTTCTATGAGATCTTGAATGAGATTTTAAATCTATAGCATTCATCGGTGGTTTGAACATTTCCTTGATGGTACTTGCAATAAGAATTGGCATCCCATCTTGAAGGTCACTTTTCTGGTGTTGGATCCTCGATAGGGCTAGTAGGTTTGATTAATCCTCGATCATAGAGATGATCGAAAGCAACATCATAGGTCATTTCAATGGGTGTGAACTCTCTTTTGGGTTTCTTTTTAGATCCTTGATAATCCATTATTTGTTTTTTTTTACAAAAAATTACGACCTCAGAGAGACCACCTATTTAAAATAAATGGTCTCATTATTCAAATATGTAAAATATTTGGTCTCTTGTCCCTCTGTATATTTATTGTTAAACTAAAAAAAGAGACCATCTATTTTAGCTAGGTGGTCTCAGGTATTTAAAGTTAGACCACTTTTAATAAAGTGGTCTTTTTGGCCAAAGACACGTGTGAGCTAGAAACCACCCCTAAGATAGTCTCTTTGGCTATTTGATATGGTCTCTTTGGCTATTTTTGTAGTAGTGTTTGCTGTTATAATAAGCAGGATAGTGACTGCCCAAGCTAAAATTTACATAATGTGTTTTGTTGAGACTGTTTATCAAGTGTGGATGCAAATAATGCTAAGAACTTCAAGCAGAATTTGGAGGCTAAAGAAGTGACTATTAGAAGGGTTATGTATAATATAACTTGTAATTGTAATGGAGAAAAGAGGAGATGGTTAATTAGGTCTTAGTTGATGATTTGTTTTTCAAGCTTTGTTTGTTGTGGTGTTTGATGTTTTGTAGAGCGGTCTGTATTGCCATGCTTTTTTAAGCATGCTCTTTGGTTTTTTTTTTATAAAATTTATTAATTGCCAAAACAAAGTACCAATCACATTGGGACATACACGTATCACAATAACCTGTTCAACAGATAACATTCTATTTTGAGCAAATGTATGTCAAATGTCGTTCAATTTCGAAATAATCGAAGAGTTGTTGTATTTTTGGAAGATCGCTGAATAAGGTCATTTTATTCTTGACAATTTTTCCATTGAACTTTAAGCAGCTTTAACAAATTTTATGTAGAGTTGTGACACGTGTCAATTGGAATGTTCGGATCGGGTTTGGTGAGGTTGTGTTGGGTCTATTTTTAAACTTGAGTGATGCTATATTATTTTGTCTAGGAGAGTCGAAATCTGAATCGGATATTATTCGGGTCAATTTCGTGTGAGGTATACCTGATCAAAGTGCGGGTCAGGCCGAGCTATGACAAAAAAACATCCTAAATCTCGGGCCAAGCAGAAAATTACATTTTCAACCCCGCCCAAAATGGCCAGGCCGACGACCTTTTCGGGTCACTTTCATGTCGGCCCAAAAAAAATGCATAAAAATGTATTCCAATGCCCGTCCAAAATTTTTCATAAGTTGGGCCAACCCACCAAAATCCGCCCAAATTCAGGCCGGCCAGCAGACCAGGCTAACATTGATTAGCTCAAGGGTGTGGTTTTGACAACTATACTGATATAATCAATGACATTTTATTCACATGTCAACTATTAACAAGTAATAGCTAGTAGTGTGTGTGTGTATATATATACATTAAGTCATTCTCTAATCCTTGTATCCTTCTCTATTTCTTCTAGTAGTTTGACCAACGTAATTCATAATAGCCTAAGGCACTATTTTTTTGAGCTTCTGGAAGAGCAGAGCAGACCAGGGGTCAGCAGAGCAGATCAGATTAAATTTAAGCAAAGCAGAGCAGAGCAAATTTTAGGATAGCATAGCAAAGCAGAGCAGAGCATATTTCAACATTATTATTAATACTATTATTAATGTTATTATTATTACTGTTGTTGTTGTTGTTGTTGTTGTTGTTGTTGTTGTTGTTGTTGTTGTTGTTGTTGTTGTTGTTGTTGTTACTACTACTACTACTACTACTACTACTACTACTACTACTACTACTACTACTACTACTACTACTACTACTACTACTACTACTACTACTACTACTATTACTAGTATTATTATTATTATTATTATTATTATTATTACTATTATTACTATTACTATTATCGTTTTTATTATTTTTATTATTATTATTATTATTATTATTGTTACTATTATTACTATTACTATTATCGTTTTTATTATTTTTATTATTATTATTATTATTATTGTTATTATTGTTATTATTATTATTACTATTATTACTATTATTACTATTACTACTATTACTATTATTACTATTATTACTATTACTATTATTACTATTATTACTATTACTATTATTATTATTACTATTATTATTATTATTATTATTATTATTATTATTATTATTATTATTATTACTATTGTTATTATTATTATTATTTATATTATTATTATTATTATTATTATATTGTTATTATTATTATTATATTGTTATTATTATTATTATATTGTTATTATTATTATTATTGTTGTTGTTTCTTTTGAGCAGAGCAGGGCTCAGCAGAGCAAAGCAAAGCAAAGTAGAGCAAAGTAGCTCTAAAGAATGGGGCCTATGTTTATTTAATATTGATTTATCTTTTAATTCTAAAATAAGTATCATTCAACAAAATGATCTAGCAAAGAATCTTTCCTCCCCTCTTTAGCCCTACATTATGAAAATTCAGGCCAATTCACTGATTCTAATTAAAGGTTTATTACATACACGTAGATCATATGGATCATATATTAGATTCACGAGTTTTCTAACTTTTTTCCTGTCAATTAATATGAAGTATTCCCGTCTTTTAAACTAGGGAATCAACTTTAAACGCGCAACAAGCACAACTGGAACAATATGAAGTTTAGGAACAATATGGAATAAGAATATAAATAAAGCAAAAAAGGTATGTTATATGCTGCAAAATTTCAGCTATAAAAACCCCATCTGCACAACATTTTACCCAAATCAAACCAAAATCTAGAGCAATCTATTATTACATTACTAGTACTTACAATTTGTCTTTTTATTGATCAACAATCGAAAGACTAAAAACAGAACTAGAAATGTATTCCTTTAGAGAAAACAGAAGACCTGTTAGAACTGCAGTTGCATCTCCTGTTTCATTTTCTGCTGCTGATAACAATCGGCACTCTGCGAATCACTGGTCTAACAACTTCGGAGAATTAAGGAAAACACCTGATCATTATGCTCCTTATGCTGCAGTTCCTGCAACTCATTATAATCTGTCCTCTAACAATAGTTTTGCTCAATCCTCTTTTCCTGCTACCAATAATTCATCTGTTGCTGCTGGTTCTGGTTCTGGTTCTGGTTCTGCTTTACATTCGATAGCCACCACGTCGAAGGAGATCATTTCTTTCCACTCATCCACCAAATGGAAAGAATATCTTCAAGATTCTAAGCAGTCCAACAAGCTGGTTAGTGAATATTCGTAATAATAATGTGACAACTATATCTGGATGTAGATAGTACAATAACTATTTTGTGTATATGGGATTCTAACTTTTTGCTTCATTGTTTTAAGGTTGTGGTATACTTCACGGCTAAATGGTGTGGACCTTGCCGGTCCATGGAGCCGACTATCAAAGAATTTGCTGCTAAGTACAACAATGTCGAATTGGTCAAGATTGACGTGGATGAATTATTTGTAAGACCCGTAGCTTAGACCCCCTTTTCTTAGCAAACTTGTACATATTTTTCATGCTTAATCTTGCAAACATAAAAAGCTTTCCTTTATTTATTTGTACACTTTGCTAACTTATTCTATTGAATGAATGTAAACAGAATGTATCGTGTGAGTATGAAATACAAACAATGCCAACATTCTTGTTCATGAAGAATGAAAAACAGATCGATAAGGTTGCTGGCGCAAAAACAGAAGATCTTCAAAGGAAAATTGAGAAACACAGAGCGAATTGATACCTAGAGTACTTTTATAACTACGTGTTCCGGAGTATTAAAAATTATTTATCATTCGAAGATGAGTTAGGTTGGCCTATTTCGAAAGCTAGGCTAGCGTATTATTTTACGAGTATTCATTTTAGGGATTCTTTATCGATTACTTTCTAGAGTTGTATCTTATATTCAAATTTAGCTTAGGAACATTTTTCTTTCAATTTCCCATATTTGGGACTGCTGTATTACCTCATAGTCAAATGAAGAATTGCATTTTCAAATAGCAATGTGTCCATTCATGATTATTGTTGAGCTTTAACAAATTAACAATTAAGCCGCAAAAGAATGGATACAGAAAGGGGTGGAAAAAAAAAGACATGATACAATGTCACACAAAACATAGAGGATACTAGTACAACAAATTAATATTGTAATAAATTAAATTATGTACACTTTATAAATATATACAGCGTAAGATATTTGAAAGACAATTGATACAATTGAAGCATGAATATGGTTGTTCAAATTGAACACTCGCATATTATATACTTCCTCCGTTCTTTTTTTATTGTACCATGAGAGATTTCACGTAGACCTGGAAAATGGGTCATTCGGGTCGGGTATGGGTCGGGTTTTCGGGTCGGGTTTTCGGGTCGGGTCATTTCGGGTTCGGGTCATTTCGGGTTCGGGTTGATTTTGGGTCGACTGGTAATCGGGTCGGGTCGGACATCGGGCCAACAGTTCGGGTCGGGTCGGTTTGGTTCGGGTCAATTTTCGGGTCGGGTCAGTTCGGGTCAGGTCAATTTTTGGGTCCAATTTCCGGGTCAACTTCAGGTCGGGTTAACTTCTAGTCGAGTCATAAAAATTCGGGTAATTCATTGGGTTAAATTCAACTCTGTATATATATTTATTTTTTTTGACGAAAAACTCACTATATTTAGTAAGGCTATTTTTTTCATGGATTACAGTAATTGTTTGACTTTTATTAACTTTTTTTTTGTGTGTGTGTTTAGAACTTTAGGCTAAGAAACACTTTCAAGATCTCCTGAAGCTAAGAAGAACTAATTGAGTTATACCTCACTCTCTTATTGATCTTAGTTTTAATACGTACTCTTATTATCATTGTCATTATTATAATAATTTCTTTGAATTATTCTTGTACTCCCTTCGTCCAAAATTACTCTTAACGATTTGACATTTTGCACTATTCACACATCTCACTTTGACCATCTTTTTTAGCTATTATATGGAAGTCAATATAGTCATGCAAGATGTTGTTGGGTCTATTTTAATGTATAATTTCCTAATATAAACTTTTTACACTACCTTCGTTAACTTTTATTTGTAACTTTGGGGTATTATTTGTAAGATATAAAATATTCCAAAATTGCAAATAAAAGTTAACGGAGGTAGTAACTTATATAATTATTTACTAAAAGAAGTTAAAGGACGGGTCATTTTCCGGTCGGGTCAATTTCGGGTCTCGAGTCAACTTCGGGTCGGGTCGTTTTGGGTCTCAGGTCAACTTTGGGTCGGGTCATCTCGGGTCGGGTCGTTTCGGGTTGAGTCATTTCGGGTTTCGGGTCAAGGTCGGGTCAGTTCCACTTCGGGTCGGGTATGGTGTCGGGTCGGGTTAATTCGGGTTTTGGGTCAATTTCGGGTCACTGGTTTCGGGTCATGGGTGGGGTCATTGGGTCTGGGTCAGGATTGCCAGGTCTAATTTCACGCTTGTTGTAGACACCCATTTGTGTCTCCCCAAAACCAAACCCGGTGATGAGTATCTTTCACGTCGAATCGAATGAAACGAAGTGTGGAAAGGTCTAGTGTAGCGGAAAGTTTTATTTCTTTTCTCTTCTCCCTGTTTTTGAAAACTTTATTTTAAGAAATCAGCCAATCCAGTTTGTTTGGTCCATGATATGGGTCCAATAGTGGTGTAGTTGGATAGGGCTTGCAAAGACCTTTCCAACGATATATTATAAGCCCGATTCCGATGAATATTGAAGAAAATATGGCCAATTTACTAAACTGGGCCCAGTTTGAGCTTTATGTACGGCCCAATGATCTAGGGAAGGGCCTAATATGATTTATCATTCCTAATGCAATTAGGAATGGTTTTAGTCTTCTAGAATCTTATAGAAGGTTCTTTTCATTCCTAATTCAATTAGCATTGATAAGTTGACTTTGTTGACTTTTCAGAGTTTTAATCAAGATCAAATAGCATTTTCGAAGAAATTATATTATTTAATCTTCCAGTACGGGAAATTTATCAGATTTTCGAAAACGCGTTGAAATCCAGTTTAGCGTCCAACCCCAGGCCTTGGCGCCTGGAACCAGGCTTGCGCCAGGCGCTAGCCATTGGCGCCTGGCGCTAGCCACCGGTGCCTGGCGCCAGCTAGCTTGGGTTGGCGCCAATCCTGTTTTGCGATCGTCAGACTCTGTTTTGTTAAATTATCTTTTTTGGCTTATTTTCTCTATAAATATCGTATCAAAAACTCCGTTTTCATGGACCAATTTTCAGGAATTCTCTTCATTCACAAGCTTTCATCTACGATCATTCATCATCTACATCTCTCATTCATCAATTCTCAACAAACATTAGTTCTTTAGCATTCTTTTCTTTCTTAAATTCTTTCTTGCTTTTACATACAAAATTCCGCATTCACAAGATCTAGAAACACCTAGCCATATTCGAAGTTGCCTTCGCCCTAGACGTGAAAGGTTTTCATTTCTGAGGGTTTGGTCCCAAATCTCTCTTTCAATTATTTAATTTTATTGTTTTGATTATTATTCCTTGAAGTTACTAACGTGTGTATTTTGTTATTAGAAAGAGGTACGAAGCATCAAAGTAAGTACTTTAATTGATTTACTGATATTATGATGTAGACATCATGTTTACATTGTTATTATGATATTCCTAGTATCATGTCTAGGGTATTTTTAATATTAAATATGATTTTTATGATGCTTCTTATCTTCTTTTTAATTTTAATTCGTGTTAGTATCATGTTAGGGCTAAAGCTTTGATTTTTATTGCTTAGTGACATGCTAGGGTTTGTTATTAGTCTTGTTAGTATCATGCCTAGGATCTTGCTATTTTTATTATGCTTTAACATTAACATGATTATGATTATAATCGTTACAATTGATGATTATAATTATTATTCATGATATTGATTATTTATCATGTTGCTTGATATTTATTGTTATTGCTTGATCACACTTTTATGCATGTTTAAAGGGAATTTGTATTTTCAATCACGCTTAATAAGATAATTAATAATCTTGTTAGGATTAATTTGATTATAATTCAAGTGATCGTCAATAATAGATTTGTTTGTGCATTAAATTCAACCAACATAGATTAAACAGGTTTAGGATTCATCCTATTGATTGCATGTTAATTAAAATGCGCACATGAATACGATCAGAATAAAGTAGAGGCCTATTATTCGGGCAGGTTCAATCTCTTTTAGGTTGGATTTGTACTTTCATCCCCGAACCCTTATTTGGTTCATGACCTTATGGAGTTGACGATCTCTTGGATCGTTAAGGGGTGTAACCTTCACCTCGTGAACGGTTTACAAGTTCCTTAAAAAATTTGTTGGCGACTCTTTTGCTCTATCTTCTTCCCTTTTGGACGCCACCGTACTTTAGTGTATGATCACAGTGGTGTTCAAGCTAGTGGGATTTAAAGGATTGAAATTATTCCCTACAGTTTTTGGCGACTCCGCTGGGGAAGATTTCTATTTTAATTCCTAAATTTGTTTCAGCAATGATTTAGAATGAGTGGATGAGACTCGAAAAGTTCTAAGTATTTCATGTGCGTAATTTTGATTAACATTATTGTCATATGCATAAAAAAGATCTCATTGGAAAGACCATCCGTAATGAGTAAAAAATATAGGATTTTACATGTAGGAAATTTGAGAAATGTCTTTCACAACTAGGAATGAAATAACATCGCGCGAAACTAGAAGATTATATCGAGCATGGAAAGCTGCTGAGGCATGTGGGAAGTAGCGTCAGGGGCCAGAGCTTGGCGCCAAACTTTTAGCCGTAGCGCCAGACGCCAGTATTGGCGCTTGGCGCTACAGTTAAAAGTTGGCGCCAGTCTCTGTTTGCTGGCGTCAATTTTCCCCAATACCGAGCCAGAAATATGCGTTCTAATTTCGACCGGTATTTCGTATTGTTTGCTCGATCCTACTTCCTGATTGAATTTTTTCTCACTTTTCTGAAACCCATATGTGTTCTACATATGGACATAACCCTCTGAGAAATCATGCTCCATATACCCGATTGAACGCTCCGTGCAACAAAGGGTACATCCGAGATGTTGAATTCACCAAACCATGGAAGCGAGTTTTTTCTAAACTCGCGGTGTCCCATCCACTCGCGCCAACCCTTCACGGTTAGGCTTCCGCGCGGTGCATCTGGACAATTAACCATGGACCCTCTATTGACTAAACCATATCCCGAACTTTAGAGAACTAGAGCCATGGTTAGGTTGCGAACGCATTGCATCATATTGTGCCTACTTGACTAATTGTGCATTATTTGTTGTGCATATATATTCTATGTTTCTCTTAACCGTTTGTTGATTTGTGTTGAGAATAAGTAAATTAATGACTTAAAGAACTTTGCCTAATTAATTAGTTAATTAATTAATTTGAGTCAATAAAGTCTTTTTGTTTTCAATCGGAATTGACCTAGTACGACTTTAGGCATACCCCAGCTGACTAATAATACCGAAAACAGTCCCAGACCGAAGCTCCAATATTGGCGCCAAAGTCTGAGCTGTAGCGCCACATTATAGTGTGTTAGCGTCAGAGATTAACTACATTGTCTAGCGCCAATCACCATATTGTGACGCCAGTCCTGTCGCTTGGCCGACAGTTCGGATTATTTGTCGAGTCATCACCTAATGTCTAATTAACCAGTTTGCTAATTAATTCGGTTAATTTTTGCTGTCAATAACACCTTGTTGAGTCATTAATCGAGTCCTAGTCACATAGTCTAGCCACATGGTCATGACACGAGTCTCAACATGTCACCTACACTCACTAGTCTTAGCACACACTTTGAGTACACATCACCATGACCATGTCTTAGGTTCATGCATGAGTCGGTCTTTCCGTCATTTGAGTTGAGGGTACATTCTACTCCTAATTCTTCATATCCCTCCATCTAAATCTTCTTCACATTCTATTCCAATCTTCCTTCACTTCCTCCATCCATTGCATGATGAATAGAGTTTGAGTCAAATAATTATCAATAAATATCTCC